AAAACCACATCCTTGGCGGTTTATCATAATTAACCTGACCATAACAATCTGCTCCGGAAAATAAATTAGACTATAACGAACAAAGGCATAACCTTACTCACCATTAATTATCAGAAACAAACCTGTATGAACACACATGCGGCATCCTCGACAGATCATAAGTCTGCGCAACGGTTCCTTCTCTCCGCATATAGAACTGGGGAAGAACGAGATTCACTACGTATCTTATTTGCATTTAAAGTAACAAAGTTGGTACATGTCAATATGAAATAATATAATATTTACTACGTACTGCAACTGAAACCAAATCGTTATTGCTTATAACGGGAAAGAGTCTTTTCGAGGCACGATAAAGGCTTTACATTATATAATAGATGGCATTCCATATACTGTCGCCAGACTCTGCCAACTTTTACGAATCTTCTCATCAAGTTCTTCACCATCATTTGGACGTGATCAACATCACAACATTTCTTAGCAAGCTGTCTATACGCGTATGGTCGCAGTCCATTCATAATAATCACGTGCCAAGTCATTATCGAGTAGTCTCGTGCGTCACCGCTGGCAATAAAATACATAATGATACCAAAAGTGTATCACATCTGACGCCTTTGTAAATTTGCGAGTACTAAAACTTCCGGTGCGATAAAAGGTAAATCCCCTTAACTTTGATTCAGACTTTTCTGATCGACACAGACCCAAGCCACATATGCATGGTCTCTAAAAAGTATGTTTCCCTGACCACCTAGTCCCAAGACTTGGTTAATTTTTGTGAATTGTGCCTCTTCAAGATTGCTCTTCATGTCATCAATATAGCTATTACTATATCAAAATTTAAGTCACATGATTGTTGTTCTGGTTGGGGTAGCCAGCATGGAAATTACAATGCACCAATCCAAAAACATGAATAATTCCCAGATGGAGCGCAATATCTCTTGAAATTAGCAATTTCATCTTCCACGTCAGTCTGTTAATATTGTGATTCAAATAAGACATAAGATCACCATCGATGTATTGCCTCACAATCATGTACTCGCTTGTTTCTGAAATATGTGTGATTCCGTAAACTGTAGAATAAAGAAAAGGACAATCTTTGGAACGCTTGGAAAAAATTCAATTGACGTTTATAACACAATAAATTGTAATCACTAACCAATGATTTCTTACCTCAGCAACAACGCGATTCTGCGCGTAAAGTCAGTTGTTGTCCGTTTCAGGCCTCGCTGTGTAAACTGTTCCATAACCATCAGATCCAATCTCTTCGATGTCATTGAAAATCAGCAAATTGCATAAAATCCACATGAAATGTCACGCAAGCGTCTCATGATAGAACGCCAGTAATGGTCTCGAGTAGACGGTTCCCAATAATCCAAACATTGTCCAGAGTCAACATGTCCGGGTAATCTTCCGTCAACTATCCCAGTAAAAAATATTATTATCAATTCATGCTCAATACGCACTTGACTTATAAAAAAGAAAATTCCTTTACCCGATTATAATCAAAATCGTAACGTTCTGTCCATCGACATCTTTTTTAGTGTGACTGTTATCAAAAACTGTTGGTCGCTGATGGTAATCAGTCCGCCATATGTGTGCATTCATGCCGTAATGATGATGCACTTACTCTTATGACCGTACTCAATCCATTGTCTCTAACCATCAGATGACCTGTACGTATTCTTTCATGATGTCATCAGAAACGCTGGAGGATTTGGTGCTTTACAATCGAAACAGAACTCCTTTATCGTGGGATACATTCTACATGTACATGCCAGGCATGGATCAGACTTTGCGTCAATAAACATTATTTATGCACACTTGCATCGTTTGTAATCCAATAGTAATATTAAGCGTGGTAGATAAATGTAAACTATGTTACCTTGTCATAATACGAACGACAATCCATTCCAAATAGGCTTCGTTTGTTTGCATTTGAATTTTCTTGATAAACCCGTCAAGCTTCTTATTCTTGCTGGTCCATCCGTTGGATAGTTCTTTCTGTCCACAAATGCGCTACATCTAAGTATCCCACGTGCAGTGCAGAATCCATATCGAGAAAACAATGTTGAAAGCGACCAGATAATTATTATCGTAGTCCTTGCTAAATCCCTTTATCATCTTGTTGCGTCTCTCAAGCCATACAGTGTCGCGCTTGGGTGTTGGTATTCACGCTGATGTACATTGTTCGCTCTTTCCGAGATTGATAGCATTATCTTGCGTTTTTTGTGCATAGCGTAATAAATGGTTTTATCGGTATTTGATACTATGCAAACTCTCAGTAAGGAATCCTTTAAGAGTAATATAGCCATCGTCTACAGAGGATTGAATCAAGCTGTCAATTACTTGACATCCTGAAACTTCAACTTCTGCATTTGATGACAACATGGTTTCTGAGGGTTAATTAATTAACAATTGTTTGTAAGACTTTAATTCTTCTTACTGTGCACTACTTGTGAGGCTAGTATCTGAGGAAAATCCAAAATGAAAAATTAGCATTAACTCTGTCATTATGAACGTAAAGACTTTTTGCGATCAAATAAACTTATTATAGACAGAACAATCTATTATTTGAACAACCTCCAGTCTTAACCACTTTTGTACATTAAAAGGCAAGTTTAATCATTACATACTCAGTGCAAGTATATTTATCTGCATTGCAGAATACTTTCCCTCCTATTTATACTGTTCAAAAATCATATTTATTAAATGTCAACTAATACTTATAATTTCCCATCTTTCGCACCATTGCATCGCATGAATGAATGCAAAAGCTAATTTCTGCTTATTGGAAATATGACGTAGGAAGGACGAGAAGTAAATAATCCGATTCGAGTTTATTATGTTACCGTCAATTATGTCAATCACATTAATACTTATATGAAGCGTCCAGCCTATTTCGTAAATGCTGTCCAGCGGTAAGTACGCGACCATCACTCGAATTTACTTCCATTCTACCAACCACTAGTCTACTGGGTATCGGTTCCAGCGAAACATCATCTGCCGCGTGACAAAAGTACGCAACACTATATCGATCCAACAAGAGGTTATCATGACGAAAAACCACGCGATGCTTTGTTGATCGAAACAATCCTCCACTCCAATATTCTAACAGATCGCCTATATTTACAAGCACACATCCCGGTATCACTGGAGCAGATATCCATTGATCGTCACCAGATAATACTTCCAAACCACCAACATCTTTTTGAAAGAGAAGCGTCAACGAGCCGTAGTCGGAATGACTACGGAATAATGACAACGTCAATCAATGCTGTGAAACCTTTGTTCGTTCGTTCGTTGTTCACATCTAATAAGCCCGCATCCGCATAATCGAATATCTCTTACCTGCCAGCACGCATGTCATCATGGTCGATGCTCTTTACAGCGGGATAGTGCAACACTCGCAATATGTCACCCGATTCAAGTTCATATAAATGTCGCTCTGTGAACCAGCCCTTTCCTCCTTCCGTCTCTGGTATTTCTAAAGCGATTGCAAATGCTTCCAATATCTTCAAACATAGGTTATGACATATCTGTTGCATATTGGGGAAAAAAACATATGACTACAAATTCCGCAAGGTTTGATGTAATATAATCATTAATCATATTTTTGCATTACCCTTGAAAACTTTGCCAGAAAATCTTTATGCTGCGCTAAAGTTGCTGGCAATTCTTGTGAACAGTTTCCACCTACGAACTTGCCAAAATTAAACGCTCTTTGGAATATCAAACAAAGATTGAGACAGCAAGGCCGGTACGTGTTATCAAACACATGATATCACTCTCCTTACTCTTTAAAATCGCCAGTGTTTTGTGTTTCCGGGTCCAGAGTTTCCTGATGAAGTGCAGAATAACCAAAGTTATCTCTTTTGATCCTGTGTTCAAGCTTTGTCTCTGTCGGGAGTGAAAAATATTCTTGGGACTGCCGACGGGTAAAAAACGTAAGATCTCTCAACCAATAGATGGACAGAATTACTGAGCGCCCTATTTTCGTTTCTTGCGCATACTTACAACGACAAATATGTTATCGATATCGGATTGATCAATTCCATGATTCCGGAGGTAAAGGAAACCAATCGAGACACTCGCCTCTTTAATCTGTTGTGCGCAAGTCACTTTCTTTGTTTCAAACAGAGAGAAATCAATGATTGGGATATCATGTCGGCTAGTCATTTACGAATTTCTTGTTATATTATTATGCAAGAAATGTTATTGAGATCGACAGTGCACTGTTATGTCGCTAAGCCACCGGCAATAACGCAAGTTACCTGCGCGGGGCACGATATTTATATTAATTAACTATTGGGGATATCTGTGTATTTATTTACATTATGCAACAACACAATGGCAATGTCCGCAGCAATTCATATATATGTAGTATCAAACTCTGTTACCCACCGTCCAAACAAACATGGAATTGATAAAGAAACCGTTATTAATTCTATCCGTGATACTCGTTTCGATTTCATTAAACGTTCCATCAAAAGGCTCGCCGCCTACTCCACCGTTTCCGGAACCTGTTTACAATCTAATATTTTTCGGGAGTCTCGCTGTGTTCATCACTAACTCATATGATCGTCCTTCATCATTTTTTCAATGGATGACACTACTGGCTTCCTTAATCTCATATATCACCGTTCCGCTAGTATATGCACGAGAGTATTCATGTCCTACAAAGTCATTGACTACAACAATGGCCGGTTCCTTTGGTGTCAAGATGCTAATATGGCTAAGAGACTGTCTTGAATCACCTAAAACCGTAACTCCATTCTGGTGGGGTCTGGTGAACTGGCGGACTATCAAACCGTCAGACAAGGATCAACAGCGCAAATTATCGACAAATTCGGTATCTTTGGAGCAGCGATTTATTTCATTTATGACCGTGTGGGCGACCTACGTTCTCTGCGCTCAAATTCTTGAATTCTTTCCACCTGAAGTACCAAATAAGCCCTATGTACTCCGAGTAATCGATTTCATTCGCACGGGAAAACCGTTTATATCTCTGCATGCATTATTGTATTGTTACATTTACGGAGGAGCACTTGCAGTATCCATGTCATTCCTCTACGAATTGATCTTACTACACGCGGCAATACTATTCCGCGTTCTCTGCATGAAACCAAAAACTCCATTACACGCACTTCTCACGCCCTCTCAGCAAGTATCCCTAAAGGAATGGCTAAGTTCTCTCTTGTTCGATGCTAAGCCGCTCTTCAATTATCCGATTCTATCTTCTGGACCAATCGACTTTTGGAAAAACAGATGGCACTCTGTATGTACGGAAAACTTTAGCAACCTAGGTAGCATGTTCGCCAGAAGATTCGAGAAAGGAACACGCATAAGAAAAATGATGGAAGTTGTGGGAACGTTTTTCGTAAGCGCGGTGATACATGAATACTATTCAGTTTCAGTGCACGGGAAGAGCAGAGGAGAACATTTCTCTTTCATCTTGTTTCATGCATTAGTAATTATCGTCTGGGAGAACGTTTGGGGATTGTGGAGGAATTTGGGGGTTGCTGAAAGAAAAGGACGCAATACAGAGAATGAGAAAAAGGAAAGAGAAGAGGGTGCTGCGAAGAAGATGCTGAAACAGATAGCGAAGATATTGGGATGGAATCTGATAGTGCTGTTGAGTGCTCCATGGTTCTTTGAACGTTATATCAGAGATGAATACTATCATTGCATGGCTCATTTTGTGTGTGTGAAGGACACAGTAGCTTCGGCATCTACACATTGAGCATTAATATTAAGAATAATGGTATATCAGAACAGATTACATAGATCGTCGATTTTCCAAAAACATTGACATAATTAATTACTCCCTACATTCGCATTAGCAAAGTATAAAAATACATAAAGTTTGTTTACATTATCGTCATTCGCTAAGAATTCCCGTCTCTTATTTCCATGTTATGCAACTTCTTTAATTCGTCGCTCGGTGGATTAGGAAACTGTAATTCATGAGTCTCGTCGTTCCCTTGTTCATTTCGTTGTAGCTCATTCCCCTGCTCCATCCCCTGCTCCATCCCCCGTTTCTCGTCTTTGCTCGCTTCCTTGTCTGCAATTTTCATTCTCGCAACGTTAGTCAATTCCCTCAATACCTCATTCTCAATCAACAAACTTTTCACGAGTGCAATCGTTTCCGGATCGTTCTGATAGCCAACCGCTTTTCTCAAAATCTCTGCAACGCTAACTATCTTTGCCTGTAATAGCGCATTTTCCTTTTCCAGTTGATCGCGTTTAACACGTTCAGCCAAGATGAGGTTTTCATGTTTCCGTTGTAAATCGAGTTTGTTCTGCTGAATGCGATAAGAATGTAGACGAAATTTGCTCATAAGTTGTTGAAGGGTTGTCTCATATTCTTTGACAGTAGAAGAGAGATATGCATTTTCCGATAGTAAAGATTCATGTTCGAGAGTAAGTCGGGTATTGAGGGCTTTTGAAGGATCGGTATCTGGCGGAAGTTTGGGTACTAAGATAGTATAATTGAGATAATATTGTGAAAAACGGAATTTGGTGCAAAAACGACGATATGGTTGAAAAATCGACATGAACATACGTCTAATGTTCGCACGTATCAAAGGACGTGTATACTGAGCGCAGCGCAGCTGTAATGAGAAATTAAACGCTTTGTCAATTTACAAGGCGACAAATTGTTTGGTTAGCGGGCTCCTTACTTCACCTTTAAATCATTGAGTTCTTCCAAAAGTAAGCTCATATTCTCACGACCTTTTGCGAGCTCAGCACTAAGCTCCTCAACCAGGTGCATCACTTCGTATAATTCATCATCCTCGTCGTATTCTGTTGTGCTTGGTGTCATTTTGGCAAGAGTTAAAAAGGCTCAACCGGGGACCGGTAAATTCAATTATTACTCCCCTGCTTGTATCACTACGTTAGTCAATATCATTGGACGTAAACATCACTCTTGTTTTTTGAATGGGTCACACAATCGAGCATCATCTTTCTGTCATGTCACAGCAACAACAAACCCAGCAACAGTCTCAACAATCTCAACAATTTCCTCGAGATTCTCGTATAATACAGCTAATATGTGATTCATTGGGGGTTAGAGATTATGAACCGAAAGTAGTTCAGCAGTTGCTGGAGTTTGCACATCGTCAGTATTAATCAATTGACATAGTTTTTCGGAATGATCCTTCCATGACACTTTCTGCTTCGTTTTTGTAGGATACACTATAGACGTTTTGCAGGACGCACTTGTTTACGCGGAGCATGCAAGCAGGACTGATATTAACGTGAGTGACGTTAAACTTGCTATAGAAGGACGGGTGAACTACTCGTTTACTGCTCCCCCACGAAGAGATGTAAGCAGACTTTGACAACTTCTTTTTACATGTTGATTGGAAATCGGGACTAACAACGTTTTTAAAAGTTCATATACGAATTGGCAAAGGCGCAGAACGAAGTACCTCTTCCGTCCGTACCAGAACGATATGGCTTGCGTCTTCCTCCTGAAAGACACTGTCTGACGGCAGTAAACTTTCAAATAGTTCCACCAGAAGTCAGTAAAACAATTGAAATTACTATCAATTCAAACTCGCGCTAACTTCAATGCATTTTACTCTCATTTCCCCCACAGTCCAAAACTGTTGTAAGACCTCAGCCAGCTGTCCCGATTGCTCCGCCGCCACCTCCATCACAAGATGGAGAAAGTGGAATTCCTCTTGGAATAAACGATGCTGATAAAGACACTGAAATGACAGATGCTGTAAACACGCCCATGAGTTCTGCTGCTAGTCCACAAAAGGCCCCTGTGCGGGCAGAAGATGATGACTATGACTATGATTTTTAATCAATTAATAAACAACTATGCGTTCTGTTCGAAAACAATTTGAAACTTGCATATAAATGAAGCAACGAGTATGAAAAGAGCTTTATTTGTAATAACAATAGAAAAAACAATACATTATTATTTCACACTATTATTGTTAGCATTAAACAATGGTTCATTTAACAGCCTTCTTCGAGCGATTAACGGGAGCTTTATGTTCAAGCAACATGTCGCTCTGCGGAGGAAGCCCAATGCAGGCTCGGAAGAGATTTTCCATGGCTGCGCGCTGCTTGCTAAACGCATTAACGACAGGAGTACCCGGCGGTACGAGAGGTGCCTTGAGCATGAAGCTGAGAATCGAGAGTACCGAATGGAACGGTGCAAATTCCGTCATCTCTTCGGTGCGATATTGAATGCGAGACGTGAGTTCGGTAAGTATAGCGAGGTCAAGAATAAGAGGAGATGCAAGAAGAGAATCTTCGCAAGTGTTGTAGAGAGAAACGGTCTGTAAAATAAAACGGAATCGTATGTGTTAATTAGTAAAACGACAAACGATTGACCATCTTTCGTGCAGAAAAATACAAATGAGCCTAAATTGAATGAAATGTTTACTTACATTCCTTCCACCCATGAAGATCTCCGATACATACTCATCGAGAGCTCGCTTAGAATCACCGACGGCAGGAACATACTTGATTACGACAACTGTTTGGCAGATCAAAGTAGAATACGGAAAAAGGTTAAACACGAATTCATAGTGCATACTTTTTGATCTCTATTTCGTACTCACCATGATCAGGATGTTCTCCCGGTTTATACAAGATCTTGTTAGAATTGACCATGTCATCGACAACATTACTCTTTGAAATTTCCTTGGACCTAAACTGCTGAGGAGCCGACAAGTTTTTGCCATCGTTATTTCCCAAATGGTTGTAACTCGTAATTCCGATAGGCTTAATGCCAGAATTAACCAAGAACTCGACCAAGACGGACTTGACTTTGGTTTGTCCCGACTTGAAGTCATCACCGCCAATGTATACGCGGTGTCTTTCGGCTAGTTCGATACAGCCCGGTACGAAAGTATTTTGAGGAGATCCATTGATGAACGGCACGTTTTCGAGGATACAGGCGATAGCAAAGATTGTAGAGGGAGCAATCTCTGGATGAGATTCTTCGACAGCTTTGAGCAGATTATCGGCAGTAGTATTTACGCCTGGTATGATCTCAGCATATCTCTCGGTATTTGCAGTCCAGACCACAATGACTTTATCCAGTTGATTAGCTAATTTAAACTGACGAATGTCATTTCTGATGTGCTCGACGTGGGCTTTCTTGTCGTCACCGGGGATCAAGTTATCAGCACGATCGCTCTGATTGGCGGCAATAAAATCAGGATAGTAAATTGATGGCAATGGTTTCATTTTCTCCAACTCGGGGGCGACCTGTCGTTGAAGGTCGTAATCGAGAACGCATGCTCTTTGCATCGACTTGGCTAAATCCAGGGAACTGATGTCCCAACCACCGAGAACAAGATCATTAGGGTGGACCATGGGCAAGATGTTGCTGAACGGGATATAGACATCTTTACCCTTCTCATCGATGCCGAGTTTGAGAGTAGAAGCTTGGACGACGGAACCAAAATAGTTAGGTGTCTTCACACCATCTTTGGTTCGCCAAGTGATGTTGTGCCGGTTCGCGACAATACTGGCGGTTAGGGTGGAACCATTGTTCCCTCCCCATCCGACCATCATTAAACTAATTGGAATAACGAAATGATTGAGAAAATCAGTTTGAAATGCCAATTATTTGATAGCGATGCATACATGAATTTCAATGTGCTCTACTACTTACCCAACCCTGGGCACTTTCAATTCTGTCTTGAAAGTATACTTTGTGTTGGTAGGCGTTACGTTGATGCTTCCGCCTTCGTTCGATGTTACAATCGCATTGCTATAAACATAGTCAGCGATGATGTGATCATCGGTATAACGGACATTCGGGGCATTCACCCTGAATGCAGATGGTGTTGGACTCCCGATAGGAGTGGAATCGGATGCGTGTGGAGGCATAAGGAAGGTGGATTAATAACTGTACTCGATCTTGAACCTTGAGCTGCAAACAGAGCGTCGCCCCGAGTAGGGGTTATGAATCGAGGGAAGTAAATTACTGAACGTTTTGGCGAAATATGTGTTTACGAACGAGAATGTGTAGAGATTAACCTATTAAGTTTGTTTTACAAGATAAGACGTTCTTGACCTTTTCACTCTGGGGAAAAGAGATTGTAGTTGGGGGTGCGTACGCCGGAAACTTTTTTTTATATCAATAACGGTTGTGCAACTCGTAACAATGCAAATAATAGTTCTAGAATAGATTTAGATGACTATAATTAGATGGTAAGACCGAACTATTATTAGAATAGGATCGACTGAAATTACTGGGACGTGGATGAATATATTTAGAAAGCGTGGATGCTCAACCTACTAAATTGTTTACAAGACGCTCGATGTTTGCTCTCTGGGTGGTGGGGGAGAAGTCGTATGCGTGGGAGGGTATGCGTAAATTGCGCTGTTATGTAATTACAACTTGGGTTGCTGTGTCTTGTGTACAAGTCTGCGGTCGCACCCATGGGGACGAAAGCTTTTTATAAGTTCGACGCCACTTAAGGGTGATCCAGATCCTGAGATAGATGGTCTTTATTACGTTCGAATGCGGAAATCTATATATCATCATAGTTTGCGATCGGATTGTTTGTGGCAGGGTAAACTTTGATTGTGATCATCAGACTATCAAATTACTTCATATAGCATGCTCATCGAGTAAAGTTAAAATGTATTTAGCCATTATAATAACCGTTATATACAACATATACATGTGACTTGCCTATATTTTCAACAATAACTACTATTATATATGTATATTAATATATAGTATTTATAGACTGCAGAATCTTCGGATGAAAAAAATTTTTTTCACAAAGGAATAGTTGCCTTCTTTAGTTGTACTGTTCTGTCACATGGGGGTTACAAAAAAATCCTAATAATAGCTGATTGGTCTATATGTTCTCATGAATTCCTTGTGCACTGCACACAGGTAGTAGCTTAGCATGTTAGATGACAGGAACAATACTTAATAAAAGCCAGATTATTTTTACATGGTCAATGCAGTCGTTTGGATTAACAATACTGATAAGGAATAAAATAGTTGTATGATTGTGCAAAACCATGTGAATGTGACTGTGGTTATCAAATCCATCTTTCTTATCTCTTTATCTAATCTGCTCATTTATCTTTTTTTAACTCTTTCCAAATCCTTGCCAAATCAACTCTTCTTATCAAATCGATATGCCGATAAACTACAGATCAAAAAGGAAAAATAATAAGGAGAGATGAAAATGTATGACCATCATGCTTGTGTACAATAAAATGACTGCAGTTCAGAATGGGAAATGAATGCATGGCATCGGGCGTAAAATATTAACAGTTAGTATATGTATGAATTTCCAAGTCGTCAGAATACGTCAGATGTTTTCCGAGACTGTTATGGTTAATTCAAGTAACGCTATCTACAAGTTACGTGTTAGGAAAAGTAACAGCACAGTAGTTTATTGACACTTCGATTGGGTGGTGATTTGAATTTTCTTAAAGTCATGATTGTGCAACCTGTTATAAACTTCTGTACTACATTGGCTTATCACAAAAATCAAGACGATTAGATTACATTCACTTCCTTGCTTCTGAAGCACCTGTATTCAAAATGGAATACGCAATAGCCTTATCGGCCACTGGGTTCATGTTATACCTGTTTATCAACGATATCAGTATTCACTGGGCAAACATCAAGGTCCCGAGTGATGCATGTACACATATAAGTGTTGTCTCAATCGCAAACCTGTAACATGCAACTAACCATGAAATCACACGCGATTTTCAGAGCTCGGCGGTATTCGGTACAGAACAATGGACTCGTAGTTACATCTATCCGAATCACTATAGACTACGAACGCTTACAGGTGTTATAGAGGTTGGTTATCGTATTGTACAAGACGTTATCGAAGCGTTATCTTTTTCTCACCCGGGTAACTCCTAAATATAGGCACCTACACCAGTTACCCCTTCATTTTTAATCTCATGCACGACGATGATACTGATATCTATGACAATCATTGTTCCTGTGTTCGGTTTTTCGCTGTTGAACATCATCTTCTAAGCCACTCGGGCTACTAAAAGAACAGATTGCTAAGCATTGCATATGCAAGAGATAAATAAAAAAGGGAATACTTTTCGGCACATAGTTTCTCCTGATATTTAATTGAATGTATCACAAGCGGACCGTTATCAAAGAAAGAAGAAAGGTTATCACAATGATGAGTTTGTGATTACACTAACGGGTTCCGAAAAGGGTTCTGGATGTTGCGAGAACACAGAATAGCGTAAGCGTATGAGAGAATAACAAACTCCTTCATAGATTAATGAAATAAGTTATATGCATATGATTTGTATGTTGTACCGAAATCATTATAATAGAATATCATAAAGGTCTCGATTTTTGGAAAGAATTCGGAATACACACCACATACAGTATGTATACTCTTAGTTGTAAATAACCATTGTATAATACTGTTTATAAACGTTTCGGTTACAAGACGTCTTTAATTATGCTACTGAAGGCAAAACGCGCATTTCTGAGTATCAGACAATGATATATAGATCGTGCCATAACTGAGTAACAATCCGCCACCACCACCATCATTACTACTGCTATTAGATAGCCAAGACTATTAATAAACTTGTTGCCGTAGTTATCTCGTAATTATGACGACAAGTTGAAGCTCACTGACAACAAGGCAATTACAGGAACAATACAATCATGCCCAAAATTCTTCCATTATTGTCCTCAATTTTAAGTCGCAGGGAATTTGATCACTTACTTGTTAGTACGTACTTTGTAATTGATTTAATTCTATACTAACATATTATTTAGTGCAGACCACAATTCTGCTGTCATCTTTTTGCGTTCAGAATAAAAGTTCCCATTTAATAGTGAGCTTTAAAATAGTATGGTTCATACTCATGACTTTTGAAAAATATGCTTAAAAGGGTGTACACTCGCTGTGTCCAAGTCTTGGTTCCAAACGTACATACTCAGCCCCAACTGAGGTGCAAGCAGCACTTTTCCCCAAAGCATCTGTAATAATGGATATTAATATTATCCATGTAATGCCTTCCAGCCCATTAAGCTTACCCTTCCTGAATAGTACCATCTTCTAGGTCTTTTCTCCATTTACGGTTTAGCCCACTTCTCAAGTCCATTCGCTTTCTTCACGTCCTCATGCTTTCTATTTCTCGGTAATGGCCCATATCTATTATGGTAAGATATTTTACACGATATGATATCGACGTATTGATTGCAGTATTGTCGATGGCTAATCGTTTACACGTACATGTTAATATCACGTTAGCGTTTGCCTAATAAAAACATCCGCAGCATATGATAAACAACCAAGATTTATTAAAACTGCTTCAAATCAACCACAACGCATAAGTAATACATGTTTAAGCAATAAAGCAACTTTCACCAAGAACACTACAAAACGCCTACATTTACATGTGAATTTTTTTAATGGCTTTTGTTCTCGGCCTGTTGCTACACAGCGTCGCTCTTTATAGTAGACCTCTTTTACAGTGAATACTAATTAAAATCGCGATATAGTGGATAGAGGTTCAAAACCATCTATAATAAATTCTATCCGATATAGTGTATTTACTAATTAATTTTCAAAAACTCTCGATATAGTGAATTTTTGAAAATTTTTTGTTAATAGGTTTTTTTGATACACTATAAAGAGCGTCACTGTGTACATGGTATACTTTGTAATAGTCCGCTTAATAACGCGGAAACTTCAATAATTCAAACGACGAGATTATAACCCATAACAAAATCGTCGGCGAACAAACTTTCCGAAAAATTGCGGACGGCTTAGTAATGAAAAGAGTTAAAATTTTTATTTAACAAAACAGCGTTTGAAATTTCTAAATTGCTTGACGATAAGAAATTTTTATCTTCGAAGAACAACACCACAGAAAAAAAACCATTGAGGCAATTCATATTTAAAAAAGAAGTAATATATAAATCACCTCAGATGAGGAAAATAAAAATAAAAAAATAAACGCTAGTAATAATATCGTTGACCAGGTTATTTGTATAATAATAATAATTGTATTATCAGGGTAATAAAAATTAATTAATAAAAACAACGTTTACGTGTAATTATTGCAATCAAAATGCTGTCCCAACCTGAGTTTGAAGGAAAAAAGTGAAATACATTGCTATTATTAAATAAAGAAACTGTATATATATAAATGCCATTTCACCGTTTTGCTTCAGTTTTCCCAAACTCATAAGATGGCAAGTATCGCATCCGACCATGATTTTGAAATACAACGCAAATCTTAGCTCGCTTAACTAAACACTGTACATTTATTAATTCGGGTAAAACCTATGACATTCATTCATGAATAAGAAGCTCAATATAAAAAGTTTACTTAGAAAATGAAAAATTTCTCACGTAGCGATTTACAAAAAGTGTTTGCGTTATTTGGGTAATCTTTTTCGGAGACAGTATGATGACACAACGCCAAATGGCAAGCGTTGTCGTTCCACAACGGGAATAGCATCTCTGAATGGCGTAAATAAGCTGTACATACACTAAAGCACATCAATATATATATATACACAAACAAACACTGAAGTCAAATTTCGAATGAAATGTCATACTTCAAGCATGAATCGAACATTGAATTAAACGTCTACAGCCTTTCCCAATTTAGCGATGGATGACGTTATACTGAGAGCATAGATTAAACGTTAAATCAAATATTGAAAGCAGAATAAAAGTTCCTGAATTAAACAGATTTGTGTCAACGTTCCAACATTAAACTATTGCCAAATACTACAAATTTGCTGGTTATTACACCCATTATGCGTGTTTTCTAATACTATCCATTATTTCTATGAAATATATGAATTGTTGAAGTTAATTCCAACAAACAACATAATAATAAACCCAGCTTTCCCGCCTTATTTTGCTAAAAATGTACTGCAGACAAAAAATAAACTCTACAAACCCAAACTACTCGCTTTCCAACTCTAAACTTCCATTTTTCTTCCAATGTTGATGGTTCGGATTTCGAAGACGACGGCAAAAATCTATTCAAGAAATTAAATGAAACGAGGTGTACCAAATAACCGATAAACTTGCACCTTTAAAAGACAATTGATATTATGTTTAATACAAATATTTTGGTGGCGGGGGCCGGCAATTGCGAAGTGGAACTGTTAGTTCCCATGTGCGCCGTTCCATCACTACAAACCCTGCAAGTCAGTGGCAGTAACCGACTAAACCTTGACAACTGCTTGTCTGTTACTGAGAAACGTAAAATGCCTTCAGCCAAGTAAAAAGAATACTCCTCGATATTTACAAAAGTCACTGAACACAATGGTGACGTTTATTTCTATGGTTTGCTACTCACGCAATTTAGCGCGACTCTTGTAGACGCCTATCCAAATTATTATTCAATTTCGAGTCCTACGTGTACGTTGATTTCTTTTTAGCGAGATTAGACTAAAGCCTGTGGGCCAGGGAAATATTAATATTGCTTCACTAAATCTTACGCAATAAAATTCTGATTGAAATCTATTGAAAGCTGAGGGCAAAAGTCACAATACCGCCGACAGGATTATTTACAAATGAAAGAACAAGAATCAATTGATCACGTTTTTATTAGAATATAAAGGACTATCCACAATCTGACGATGTTCTGCCATTACTTAAATTACTCTTTTTTAATTATTTAGCGTTTTACCGGTCGTTAGCTCATTTTGGATATAGGCGGGATTATTTTTGTATAATTCAACAATGTGGATGTTCACTTAGTATTAGTGAAAATTCTGCCATTCGGTTCTGTGTAACTTGAATTTGAATTTGAGCTGAAAATCGCGAAACGTCATGTTTAATACAAAACGATATCTATAACCAGGATTCTTCGGACATTTCATAACAACGATTGCATTACTGTATTTGAATTCTAGTAGATAAATGTCATTTACCTATTTTAAAACCGATTAAACAATAATCGTTTACAATATTAATTATAGACAAGTCCAGAGATCATAATACTTGTTAAATAGTCATCAAGTTGGTATTCATTCAATTGTAGGAGTATGAGAAATTTCTTTTCATCAGACATTTTCAAGTCTTGTTGAATTGCTTGCAAAACTGTAGGCAAGTCTGTGATCAGATTCCCTGCCAACTTCTGAAAGGATATTATAGATAAAGGCTTGTAGTTTTTGGTAAACCAATACGTTGAGAACGAAATATTAACTGAATTAATATTAATAAACTATTAGAAGTACACCTTATTTTTATGAAAGAGATGTCAGTAAACTCACCATAGTACATAGAAAGAAGCAGCTACAAGAACAGTGAATTAAGATGGTGACAAAAGAAGAAAATATTAGCCAGCATAGTAATAGTAGAAAGTTTTGGTAAGCATAAAGTAAGTTTCATTGTTTCATGCTATATCTACTAATGTGACTCTATTTTAAGTTCTTTTTCTCTTTTTTTTTTCCTATCCTATCTATATCAAGCAAATATACTACTAAAACACTAATGCTAAACGGCATCGATGTATGATAACAATGAAAGTGCCACAAGCTCCAACAACATGGAGTACAAAGTCGACTGCAGCAAAGCATAGTAGATGAAGTAGTAGTATTATTAGTATTAGCCAATGTAGCAACAGTATATATAAGTTGCTCGAATTGATGGACGAAAATAGATATGACTCTACGTTCCTCAGCATACCTTCAACTATTTCTTGCTCCATTGCAACCTTAACGTGTCGTAGCATTCAGCTCGCTTACCATGTACTTGGAGATATGCTGATATGCTGCTTTTCCAATCGTAATCGTTGCATTACATATTTATCCATACAAGCCCTATAGTCCATTGGTTCCATGTGGTCAAGTTTATTTTTGCTAACCAATTATATAACGTAACGGGTAACAGAAGGTTAAATCGTATTGGAACCTTGATGTCATATGATCAGATCGTTTGTCGATGTTAAATAATATATGTGCACCTTTATTACCACTATTAGCAACATAGCCCTCCCCCACGAAGAATTTATTACATAATAAAAATCTTTTATAAAAAGCCATCGTTACTGCAATTACTGTTAGATTTATTTGATGGTTGTCGATCATTTTTCATATGATCGAAGGGGGGTGCTTGTGCTTATACACGGTAATATATCTATATATGGTACCTTGGATCGCTAATTGTAATATTACGTAATTCGCGCGCGCATATACATATTTTCTTTTCACATGACAAAGTCTTCGCTTTCATATGAAACCGCTCAAATTCGTGATTAAGTGCACTTTTCGTGATTCACCTACACTATGGCGCATAACGATTACAGCAAATCCACGTCGAAAAATGTTTTATCCATTATCGGTTTGATTTTTGTCATGAATAGAACAGAAAAGAACGAAGAGTGAAGATTACTAATTACTTATACTACAAAGGTTACAACTACAGTGAGCATTTCCAATAACTGTCCCTATCATAATTAAGAAAAGAAAAAGGTTTCAAGAACAATTGATAAAGTATAAAACCGCCAATAAAATTAGTATAGTGATTCCACTAAATTACAGTAACCAATCCCACGTAACTGCCATCCAATCTACACAAAGTGTGTCATTTTTTATATTTGTACCGGAACAAGCTGTGATAAACGTATGGATCGGGGTCCTGAACTATTGTCGAATCAGTATCTTGTTGCGTATGACAGTTCGCCTCGTCTTCGGTATATTCATTATTTTCTCGCGTCTCTTGATCACTCTTTATCCGTGTCATTTTATATGTATCGAAAGTGTCGCTGGCCTCAGGAATATCTGCGCCCGAGATAATATCATTATTATTCGTATCTTCGTCAGTCATCCTTGACGTGTCGCCATCAGTCATTTTTGGCATGTCGCCGTCAGTCATTCTTGACATGTCGCCATCAGTCAGTCTTGACGTGTCGCCATCAGTCAGTCTTGACGTGTCGCCATCAGTCAGTCTTGACGTGTCGCCGTTATCAAAGCGAGCAATAGAATTCGAATCAATGCTTTCCAATAATTTCTTCTCCCAAAAGTGTCTGCCAGTCCAAAGTGATGATACAACTGTTTCCTTTTTGGTTTTTGTTGTAGAGCGGGAGGCTTGCTTTTGTGACCGTTTACGAATCAAGTCGGGATAGTTTTGACAAAGACGATTATGACAAACTTGAAGTATTGTTGTAAAGTATATCTAGAAAATTTACAAGAACGTAAAGAATTAATACAGTGCCCGCACACTCTGGCGCTTCGGTATAACTTATAATAATTGCGTTTTTAACAAACTTACATTACAAATGGTGGTGATAGATATTCCAATCGCAAGCCGTAATATGGATCTGGTTGCAGATTGCTTACACTTGTCTTCCGTTGTAATGTTGTTCGCACAATAATTAATGAAGCTATTTCGTTTAGTAATAATGGCGATTAATGCACCAGCGGACACGGCGCTCCAGACGAATACCATGTAGAACCATGATAAATACGTGTATATGCGGATTCTATCTGGAGATTTCTGGAAAACGTGAAGGAAAAAAAAGAAACGAATGTTTGAGTAGATGGTTTGAAGAATTTATTTTCATAACTATAACTTACTTGAAAGAATAACACTGAAAGACCGTAGCCTGCTAATATTGTTATTATCAAGGATAGAAATGCTAGCACTATTAATAGATTACGAACGTGTCCAAAAACTGTAATATGTCAAGGGTAGGCAAGTTGTGAATGCGAATTAGACATTTGAATAATCAATTCAACGCTTTTTTTTAACTCTAGTGTCTTGTGATTAACGCCATACTAGTAAGCATACTCACTGTTGTCTACTTTATCCGCAGAATAAATATCAAAAAACACTGCCGTTAATGCCACACCAGTTGCCTGAATATCAAACTCAGTAAGTATACTTTTGAAACGCATCATTTTCGATCAGAACGATCCTTCTTCTCTACTCACCATCCATATTATCGTAACAATGAGAGCTCCGCTCTTAACGGGAAGACAAAAGCAGAAATGAGAGTAATATTTTTTTGTAAAACAACTTGACGTGTCTGCCATTTGAATTGTATTTAATTGTCTAGAAATCAAAGACGTTCAAATTAATCAACGAATTAAAGGTGTGTGGGTGTAGTCGGATTAAAAGATGATAATGTTCTCTCTCTTTCTGTATGTCTTTTCGATGTGGCGTATTTTGTGTGTGTATGTGTGTGTTCGTTGTTCTTAAAACGAAAAAGTTATAAGGAAAGACAGAGACACTCGAGCGTTGCAAATAATGATATTGTTTCCTATAGATAAATATTATTTGAGTATTTGTTTATTTTGTTTTAATTCCATGCATTCTTACCGGAAATGCTTAAAGGAAACATCAAAATTATGCAAGCACGAGTATCAGTCTATGATAAAAGCTCCCAACAGGTGAAGCGTACGTCTACTCCGTGAATTGCTTTTGCGCCCATGTAATTTTGTATGTTACGTGTATATATACCATTTAATATCGGGAATTATCCGAGACTTAAAGGAATTTATATCACAGGGGTTAGGACAGTTGGCCAAAATTACCATATAAAGGCCGTTCCGCAAAGGGTTGCCCGAACATGTCTGAAAATCACTTGTTTATCCGAAAATTCGGGCGTTTGACTATAAATGTTATCGAGGGAAAAAAGAGCCTGGGAAATAAACACAAACGATACTTTTCGTGGCATGAATGTATTAGGCCGACATCGCTAGAAGGACAAGTTGTCTACTCATAGAGGCGAATCCTCCTTTTTTCGTTGCAAATGCTGACCAGTTCACCAGCATAAACCGCTGTTGTACATACAGTATTTGAATTAGTTTCTTTTTGAACTGATGATCCCATAAAATTTTCCCGATCAAATTTATCCGAAATGCGGATAGGCAATGAAAATTTCTTATTTGTAATAAGACCAAATATAGATTAACTTATTAAACTTGATGATCTGCAGATAGGCATCAGAACGAAATCTCTCGCAATGTTGTTGCCATCTAGCCAACTGTCGGGCATGACTCTATCACTGTTGCTTTCTTTCAATAAAAAAACACAAACACGAGTTGTTGTGATCATAATAGACATATTATACCAGGACCGTCGCAACGGATGCAACAGTAATGGCCTCCTAACTAGCAACTCTCCAGAACAAAGAAACGTGATTATGAGCTGATCGTAATATACGTTGGTAGATCACTCTCGGCATTCTAGACGTGTTATTAATTTAGATTTATTCATGGCGTAAATTTCTCTTGATCTTGATATTGTTCGTTATATGTACAGCCAAACGTCACTAATCGCAATAAAGACCAACGTCATTAATCGGTCCAAACCGAGACAGATGATGAAACGCCCATTAGTATATTGCTTTCAATCTACTCATGGCGAGGTTTGTATACCATTCAGGTTACTCATGATGCAAACGTGGTGATAGTATTGGATCCGAATAAGGCTGAATGGATAGTGCATGAATATCAATCAGTCGTTACCTTCTTAGGCAATAGGGATCTACGAGATAACTGACATTTTAGAGATTGTAAAATTTCAATAATACAACTGCACTTGATATAATAACCCCTGTTTTCCTCAATGGAACTGTCTCGGTTAGTATATATTAATAGACAGCCTCGCGATAATAAATACAACCTTCGGGGAAATAAATATATAAACAAACACTCAAAAGTTGGGGCAAATCAACCCATTTTTACAAATCCAAGTAAAAATCGATCCCCTTTCAACTCCAACCGACCATTATAACTAATTGATGAAGTTTTCGCACTCGCTTCAGTTTAACTCTGTGCCTGACTGGGCTGGGAATTATATATCGTATCCTTTTTTGTCCAGTGTTAAATAAGAATCAGAACGACATAGAGGAAGGTACAAGCGCTAAAGAGCCTTCTAGACGTTCCATTAAATAAAGCATTGGGACACTTTCTCCCCTTTACCACAGTCCCGATACGTGCGTCTCTGATATGTTTCAAATCAGACTCGTTCTCTCTTCATATCGCATTGCTTTTGCATTTTCAGTCGTCAGTCTTACTACGACTTTACTCTTCTGTGATCCTTAATTCGTTACACTTGCACACACAGTTATTCGTTCCTAAAAAAGCTAATATATCAAATCGAGAGAGATATAATAAACCCTTCTCTTGCAAATCAAGATACAGAATCACTGATTGCAACAGAAACGACCGTTCTGCTCGATGCAAAAACTCGCGCAAACTCAATCTTTATTCCTTCGCTAGACAAGGAACTCGACAAAATCACCGCCTTTTATTTGAATAAAGAGCGTGAACTTTTTGAAGATGTAAAGAATCATTTGGCTGATGTGGAATTTATCGAAGGTTTAGAAAACACTCCGGCATTAAGAGCACATGGAAATTTGTTATCTAGCTCTTATGATTCGTCAGATAGCATACCGTACGGGAAGGGTGCTGCAAGAAACAGACAAAGGAGCATAAGCGAGGCGAGTCTAGTGAGTAGTGAGGATGACTTTGATGCTGAAGAGCGAACTTACATGGCTGGTGTTAGCATTCCATATGGTGATGACGAAGGACAACTAAAGAATACTGGATATTTCTGGGCCAGGCCCGCTCTAGAAGCAGAACGCATTGGATTGAAGAAACGTACCATCGAATTGTTTGTCAGGCTGTCAGAATTGAAATCATTCGTTAGCTTGAATCAAACAGGTTTTTCGAAAATACTGAAAAAGTACGATAAAATTACTCACGGCCAAGAGCAAAGAGATAACTACATGTCCAACGTGGTGAACGAGGGTTTTCCATTCAAAAGTCACAACAGAGAAAGATTGGATGAACAGATTTTCTCCATGATTTCACTGTATGCCAAGTTATGCACATTCAATAATTTCGAACTTGCCTCGCGCGAGCTCAAAGCTCATCTCCGTGAATTTGTCGTCTGGGAGAGGAATACCGTTTGGCGTGAGCTTATCGGATTAGAGCGTAAAGCACAGGCAGTCGGTATCCATGGCCCAAATGCGACGCGGTTGATAGATGTTACAGAGTTTAGAACGCCATTTGGAAAGATTACGTTCGAGACGGACTTTGGGAAGCAAGTTTTAGCGGGAATAGTGTGTATTGGCGTGTTTGTATTTCTGTTAAATGTAGATGGATTATTTAAGAAGGTTGAAGAAAGAAATTGTTTTGCCTTGTTGATCTTTGCTAGTATGCTTTGGGCTACTGAGGTTGGTAGAAAGCTGTGTTGGATATTCCGTTTGGTATTATGTATAACGAAAACATGTTTATTCGCATATCTCCACTTTTTTTTTTTACTCCTTCCTATCTACGATTAGGTTATACCTCTGTTCGTAACTTCTCTTCTCATCCCATTCCTAGTCGTAGCTCTTCGCGTCCTTCGTACTGAATCCGATCCCCGGGAACGTCTTACAGCCCACGACGCTACTCGTCAGATCTTTGGTGCCATGTTTTCTCCAGTCATTATGCTTCTTCTCGGTGGATTTGCCATAGCCGCCGCATTGAGTAAATATCATATCGCAAAGATGATGGCAACTTTTGTGCTGTCAAAGTCTGGAACGAAACCGGCATGGGTCTTATTGTCGAATATGTTTGTGGCTACGATAGCGAGTATGTGGATTAGTAATGTGGCAGCTCCGGTCTTGTGTCTCAGCTTGATTCAGGTATGTGCTTGACAGTGGTGGGTGGAGAGAATAAAGGGAGACGCTGTGGATAACTAATCTGCTGTGGATTTATGAAACTCATATTATAATCATACTATATACAGCCGATCCTCCGTAATCTGCCACAAAATAGTCCTTTTGGTCGTTGTCTTATTCTGGGAATAGCCCTCGCGTCAAACGTGGGTGGAATGGCATCTCCAATCTCGTCTCCGCAAAACATTGTTGCCATCGAGAATATGAATCCTGAGCCGTCTTGGTCAGAATGGTTCTTAGTAGCCATCCCGTTGTGCATACTATCCAATATTATAATTTGGCTATTATTGTTGTATAACTATCAACCGTCGAAAAGTACATTGACCATACACCCCATAAGAGCATCGAAAGACCCATGGACTGGCACCCAAGTGTTTGTTGTTTTTGTGACAATTCTTACGATTGTGTTATGGTGTGTTGAGAAATCTTTGGAGGATTTTCTTGGCGATATGGGTATAGTCGCGATATTGCCTTTAGTCGCGTTCTTCGGTTCTGGTATTTTAACCAAAGAAGATTTTAACAATTTCCTCTGGACCGTAATTATTCTTGCCATGGGAGGCATCGCGCTAGGGAGGGCTGTATATAGCAGCGGGTTATTGGAATCGATTACATTGGAGATTACTGAATGGGTGGATGAATTGAGTGTTTGGGAAATATTGGTCGTATTTTGCGTGTTAGTGTTGATTGTGACGACATTTATTAGCCATACTGTGGGTGCGTTGATTATCCTGCCTATTGTATCTGCCGTTGGGGCCAGCCTTGGAAAAGATGGAGACAAAACTCATCAAAATTTGCTTGTCATGGTGCGTTGTCGTTCGGTGTTATTGCTTTATCATCACTCGTCTATCGATTTGTTTTATAAACATGTTTGTTTGTATTTCTCTAATAGGGATCTGCTCTAATGTGCTCTTGTGCAATGGGTCTTCCCATTTCCGGTTTTCCCAACATGAACGCTATAATGATGGAAGATGAGATGGGTGTTCGATATCTAAGCACCAAAGACTTTCTCAAGTCGGGAGTTCCGGCTTCTGTCTTGGCGATGTTTACAATCGTGACCGTTGGTTATATTATAATGAGCCTGTTTCTTAATTATTGACTGGTGTTGTTTACAGATGATAATTTATAACTTAAATTATCATCTTCAATGCTGGGAAAGTAAGAATCTGCTAATAATGCATATAGTATCATATATTTGTAATAGACATATCAGCGGGTTTGATGTAATAGAGAAGGAAGGCATTGCCGCGTGTTAATATAAAAGGCTGTTTAAACAATCATTACAGATTGGGGTTTTACGTCGGTTGAGTTGACAAAATTCATGGGTCATTCTAAATCTCTATCTGCCGTTCCCTTAAAACACGTTCACCAGGGTCACGTTGTAAAGTGATGGGAGTTTTCTACATAATGTGGTATGGTCTCCCTTGCCGCCTCTTTGAATTCCCATGTCTTATAAGGCACAGATTGACCGTGAACTTTTAATAGTGTTTGCCCACATGATGCGTTCTCGACAAGTTCAAAGCTATGCGTAAGCTGGAAGAATGAGGATGTAAACCATCATCGGTGTCGATTATGTTTGTGTGATTCGCGAGCAAAAAAAAACTTGATGGTTAGAAGAATTTAATGCAGAGAATGCTTGCAAATACCAGTTAACTTGTACAAATAATTTTGATCAGGACCCCACCTCGATCGTGCAAAGATCGAAGATCAAGGTTGTCAGAATCTGAACATTCTCCATAGCTATTTTAAGTAGCAAAAGGATATAAATGGTATTACACCTCCGAGTCAATCTAAAATGCTGTCGGTTTCGAACATATGGTACCTAAGATCAAATCAGTTTCGTGAGCAACCGATCCTTAACTCCATTCTTATCCCCAACGCTTTTCTAACTTAGCTGGTTCGGAAGGAGATCTACTACTACTTTAATTTAATATATTAATATATTAGTTCTGATATTTCGATCATTGTGCGAAAAACATTCAATCACCTGAGCGAAGATCACTGTGTGTGGTAACACACTATGTTGCAGCACGCCCCATGTGCCAGATTAAACGAAATCGGGTTAAATTGACAAACATTTTAAGATGGTTTTGCTTAAATATAAGACTTGTATGCATGGCGACAAGCATCTTTTACATGTGTTCCGGCAATCTTTTATTCCAAGAATCTTTTTCACTCATTTAATGATATAACCTCAAACTAAACCACAAGTTATCGTTTCTAATTCTTTAATCTGCCACACCCCCCCCCACTTCCACCACATGTTGACAGTAACTCAAAAGTCAATGTCACGAGCTTGGCATCATTCACCCACAATCATTATGTCCCAATGGCGGTGTCTGGATACTAGCCCAGATGAGTTGAGGCTGGATACTACCCTCAAATGTGGTCAAGCGTTCCGTTGGAGACTCTCAGGACCTGACGAATGGTTGGTGTAATATTGATTGATAATAAGAATTTAAATTATTTTTCCATCTTTATAGGTTTTCTCTTTCATATGTAGGTCATGCGCGTTCAAAGGGAAATTGATATCGATACGCCAGACGGGTATGTGGTTATTTATTCGTATCTACCAATTGGCTACAATACACTTTATCTTCACTCATTTTCCACTTGCTTTTTCTTTTCTTTCTTTCCTCTCGACACAGAAACAACTGTAGAATACAGGTCACACCCAACTACAACAACGGACGTTGAACTCTTTCTCAGAGAATACTTTCAATTACACGTCAATCTGTCCGATTGCTACAAACGTTGGAGTAAAGCCGACAAACATTTTGCAAAGATTGCCGGAGGTTTTAAGGGTATCAGAATCCTTAAACAGGACCCAGTGGAAAATCTGTTTTGTTTTATATGTTCGCAGAACAACAATATCAAAAGAATCGAACAAATGGTAAGAAAGGGAGGGTAGCTTTTCGTGGATGGGAATTGGATGGGAATTGGATGGGAATTGGGTGAGATTATTAAAAATCTATGCAACCATCTTGTAATCAATATAACATTACCTTGCACTTTTCGCTCACCCTCTCAATGCTACTTTTCCCCCCTTGTTCGCAAAGACTTCTACTCTTTGCGAAAGATATGGGAAACCAATTCACACTTACAATTCGCATACGTACTATGACTTTCCCCTCGTCTCTTCACTCTCCCACGCGTCTTTAGAAAGCGAGCTGAGAGATTTGGGTTTCGGATATAGAGCAAAGTATATCGCAGAGACGGCCAAGCTTTTGGAAAAGAGAGGAGAGGAATGGCTGATGAGATTAAGAACGTCTGGATATGAAGAGGCTAAAGAACTTTTGACTCAGCTACCGGGGGTGAGTGTAGAAGAGGTGTTGTATATGTTTGGAACGTGGGGCATTCAACGAAATTGGTTTGATCTTTCAACGCTGAATCCACTAGGTTGGCCCTAAAGTCGCGGATTGCGTGGTAAGTTATCGGATATAGGTTCGAGCAAGCTGACTTTGATTTGGTCATTTCTGTAAGATCATCCTGTCTCATAAGAGTCGCTATAACGCACACCACTTGTAGCTTTTAATGTCCCTCGACAAACCAAATGCGATACCGATAGACACTCACGTCTGGCAAATCGCAAAGCGATCATATGGTTTCTCGTCATCATCCGCCTCATCAAAAACGCTTACACCACGGATGTATACGGAGATAGCAGAGTACTTTAGACGATTGTTTGGAGAGTATAGTGGATGGGCACACTCTGTGAGTGAATATAAGCGTTGTCAATTAGGAGTTAGGGTAGGGTTAGGTTTAAAGCTGGGATACAAGGACGTATAATCTTCACTTGTATTAATTGTATTCGGTGTCCACGGCCATGTTTTGTTAATAGGTGCTGTTCACGGCGGATTTGAAAGTATTCGAGAATCGACAGGAAGTTACCAAGGCGCTGAATGGAATGGTGAATGGGAAGAAGAGAAAAGCGGATAGTCAAAAAAGAGGCAAGAATGTTGAAAAAATCAACCAAGATTTCGAGAATCTTGAAAAAAACAGTTTAAACACGGCAAATGGACTTGTCGATAATAATAGCAAGACTCCTATCGAGAGTATAAATGCCGATAAAGCGTTGAGACGTAGCTCAAGATTGAGGTTGCAATAAAGTGTGCTTGTGGATTATGATGAAAGAATAAGAGAGATGAATCACATTGTAAATAAAAAGTTGCTGCGTGAATAAAACACAAAAACTGATTAAGCTATAATGAACGCTACTAACTTAGCCAAGCATTCCAAATGGTAGGATAATAAATTAATGTGACTAATGACAACTGCAAGTTACACTTACGCGTCCCACCCGAACAAATGACAAATAACAAAACGGAAAGAAAAAAAAGGCGTGCGTTGTGGGAAACTGTTGATTGTGGAGCGAAGCATCAATGATAACATAAACCCTTGCGCAATGGCTCCATCACTGTTTGGAGGGATATCTGTTTACCAAACATTGTACTAAAAATAAGTTGATTACAGCAATTCTCCGAGTGGTCGCTAAAAATATCTTATCAGCATGTGATATAAGCAAATGTTGTACTGTATGTGACATTGTACCCTTTTGAGAATAGAGTAACCTTGTACGAGTCACAAGAACAATGATATGGGAGCTGCGTATAATGGCGCAAATCCTCCTCTCTCCCTTATCTTATTCTCATACCTGAACTGGACTAGCTTAACTTGTCAGTATGATGAGCATCGTTCTCGCATATACCATTCATCCATTCAAACCAAACTAGTCGTCCATACTAACGGGCCTTGCAAACCTTTCAACCGAGAGATGTTATGGACTATGACGAGTAGATTTAGAAAAGAAATCCAAACAATAGAATACATTAAAGGAAATCAATGACAAACAAAAGCTAATCGAAAAGCCACGCATCATGCGCTGCAATGGTAGCTTACCAGGAACACTCCAAATGCTTTAATGTCTGTTTAACCATGTTATCATGTCGATTACTATCTATTTTTAGAACAATTAATAGAGCGCACAAAAGGAGATGTTATTGTAACAAGATGGAATAAAAAAGGAAAGGGAATAGATAATAAACAATAGGTAGCGATGTTATCTGCATTCATCAAATCCATTGAAAGCTGTGTTCCCTTGCGTATTTGGAGTCCCTTATTACAAGTTATACCTTTAATATCCACAATGCCACAATCCATTGTATGTATTGTTAAAGCAATGGAAAATGCATTGACGCAGAATGGTTTCATTGAAGAAACAATGAAGGTTCTGTGTCAATCTATTGTTTACTTCACTCTTTGCACATATTTAGATAATAACAACTCGCAAGCCACTTTAACGGTGCGTTCCGATCACCGATGTACATGGAAACGCAAAAAATTCAAGCGACCCAGGTTTGAGATTAACCGATGCATGACGTAACCGAAAACTTCAATGTGTAACCTTATTGAATGTTCTCTGTGACGGACTTGACCATTTTATAAGAGAATGGTACAGTCTTATATCACAATCTAGTTTATAAAGTGGGGTTTAACAAGTCTAATTGGGGGTTACCCCGGGCAATAACTGACAAAATTTTTTTGAAAAACGTTTGTACAATCGGTCAATGCCATTGAACAGTGAAATGAATTCATCGGGGGGAGGATTACTGTCATCCTTTAAGCAGGATAATTAGCATACGCTAGTCTTGCTCACTGTCAACTAGTCTAGACGTTCGCTTCAAGCATAGTCTTTTGTCAGGGAGAGAGGATCTTTCAATTTGAGTTTTGAATTTATTCTTGTCGAAATGAATGAAACGAAATGTTTGTGGCACGGTCATATGTGGGGCGTGTTGCATCAAAAATTATGAAATAAACGCCACAAACAAGATCGATCTTACCCGAATTGGGTTTCTAAATAACAGAGTTCGTTCAGTTTTCTTATTCTCCGAACGTGCTTATCCAGATTCAAACCATACCCCCTCGTTTTTCAAATACACGTAATGTGCATTCTCGAAGAATCTGTCTATGAATAGTCCTTTAATGATACATTCTTTTGAATTACAAGAATTATGGCGCAGGGGTTAAAACCAATTACTATTTATTGCAAATGACAAAAACATTACTAATGGTAAGAATGGGAGACATTTGTCACAATGATACACAATTACGTATGGATACCAAGATGACAAATACAAATATGCAAGTTTATCAGAAAACGACAACCTTGTTATGGTTAGACGAAATGCAAACGGTGCCTACTCTGGCTTAAGCTTTGATTTATCATTCTTCTTTTCATTCGAAATGTAAACAATTTGTTACTTTTTGTTAATATTAGACACATGATTTTCCATGTATAAGAAGCAAATAAAACGCTATTCAACAGAAATTATAGTTAATCTTTGGAGGTACAAGATTCAAGTTGTAAAACGACGCATACGTGCTTTTAAGAATCAGGTAAAATTTTAAGACTTGTACTGCGCAGAGTACAGTATGTAGGTATGTGTCAGTTCGATGCACAAGGCAAACAATCGGACAATCTTAATAGTAATAGTGTAAATGAGCCATTGACCATTAATGTGGGGTGAATACTGTATAACAAATGTCAATAGCAAAGACGTAAGCAGTTGTTCTATTAATAACCGCACCCATATTCGGTATTGATTGGCAGATTATCTTGTTAACGTTTAACATTTCCAAATTTGGTGGGTTGCGTTACAATATTCTCTCATGAACTTTTTCGACTTTAACTATCTGTTCCATTAGAAAAGAATTTATTGTTATTATCTTTCAAAAGCAAACTAAAATAGATATTTCAATTAATGGTACATCGCATCAATAGTTTTATAGCGCACAACTTTTTATACAAAACCGTGTGCGTCCCTGCTTGCAAAAACGATAAACGAGGCTCGTAGGATATTGTGAGAATTGCCAATTGGACGTAGTATTTGTTCATCGATACTTATCTCCAAGCATTCTATTTATTATTGTTTATATTTGGTACGTAGAATTAATCGTTAGAAACAGCTTCTACGATATAACTATTTCCCCGTTCGAAACATCAATGGTTACTGAAAAGCGTGCAATCTTTGCAGAACTGGCGAAATTTACAGTTTATTATTATTAATTTGATGTACGTTTTACAAAAAGAGTCTGGATAAATAAATATAATATAAATTATATATACTCTATTCAAATAGTAGCAAGCCATACATGTCAAAATATTCTCTTCCTCAATCCCATTCTTCTTTGATCCAATCCACATTGACGTTAGCCAATATAACTAATAGCAATATACTATTGCGGTAATAACACATGATAATGAAAAAGGATGGACAATACTTAATCGATTTAATGTTATGTTTGTTATTTTATGTATAATATGTACATGGTGGTACAGTATATTGAATACTATTTATACGTAACCGTTGCTCGTTACCTTTTACAATAGATTTGCTTCACACAGTCACAATCGAGTAACTCCCTAACTTTGTTATATCACATTCCTTGCTGTCACACGTTTACGAGATAAAAATAGCACATTATTAGAGTTGGGTCATACATAAAGTCTTGACATGGTAAAGATTGTCAAACAGAGAGCGGTGCTGTGATTATTGACTGATGGGATTATTACTGAGCCTATTAATAGATCACTGTACAAAAATGATATTCTCTGTTTACAGTTGCTATTTATACAGTTCACCCCAATTAGGCATTCTAGTTCAAAGACAGCCACATCGAACATTTAAATAAAGCCCCCCATCCACAACCTTTCGAAAACAAAAAAAAAAGAAAGTTTTTAGTAGTTGAGTGTGAAGCGGACTTTGAAAATATTCATTTGAGCATTTAGTACATAGCTAACATTTATACACGGACACTTACGCATTTGCATAGAAAACATTATTACAATAGTAGACGTAAATACCCAATCCCCACATCAATACTAACAGCATTACATCTAAATCATATACACTCAAATCAATTACAATCAACTCCAGTCATGTCTACCGAACAATACCAAAGATCAGAACTTCGCACTCGCATTCAACAACGCCTACAACAACGCACTGACACAACCACCAAATCTTCGCCGAAAACCTTCAACCAACTCCCTCCATATCTCCAAAACGTCCTCCCCGACAACTACACTTACATCATCAAATCATACAAAGAACTTCCCTTGCACAACTTTGACGGCGCACCGAATGCTTCTTTTGACGCACAATTCTACATCAACATTGCCTCGCAAGACGAAATAGAGGCATGGCGAGCAGCATTCCATGCCAAAACCGGGACAATATTCCGAATCACTCGAGCCGACAAGGTGAAAGGAATCAAGGTGATCTACCACAAAGACTTTCACTGCAGACACGCTGACATTGCCGCCATCAAGTACATGCAAAAGACCTATGCTCAAAAGGCGGGTCAGAGGAGGAGTAGAAATACAAATTGCCAGTGTCTGGCCAAGATTAGGTTGGAAAAATCAAGATTGTCACTCTCACACCCTTGTGAAGTGAGGTTGTTGTATAATCACAACCACCGATTGGAACCAGCACAGTCTTCGAATAATAACAACGTTACCTCGACCTTAAACTCTCACATAATGTCATCTACTTTAGCTCCTCCCCCGACATTCTTGCATGAAGCTTCTCCGTCGGTTACTCCCTCCATCGGTACCACTCCGCTCGGCACGCCCTTGATTGGAACTCCCAGCGATACGAGCACCCTCAGCGCTCAGAGCTCGCCTAAGCAAGAATTTGCAGATTTCGGTTATGGATTAAGTCATTCAAGTATGGATCAGAAGTGTTTAATGAATGCTGATGTTTTTGAGACTTGTAATCGGAATACCAACCAAATGTTTTCTTTTTCTACTGTACATAATTCTAACCAACCTCGCGATGGCATAACCTATCTTCAACCGACCATTACCACTACTGACATTGACAACAACAATAATAATAACAATAACAATAACAATAACAATAACAACAACAATAACACTACAAATTTGCTCCCTTCTCTTTCTTCAACTTTTTCGCAATCTTCTTTACCTATACCTATATCGACATCTACCACTCCACTTATTCCGTTTTCTCAACTTCCCATATCTACATCGACATCCACATCACCACTTGTTCCATTTTCTCAACTACCCATATCCACATCGACATCTACTACTCCACCACTTCCCACAACTAACAATCGTTATCCCTCACCACCTACTCCTCAAAAACTCTTAACAGCTCTCTCCCAATTCACTCGGGAAACCGAAGCCGACATTCTCATTGCTGACCCGTACTATAACAACTCGCTTTACAAGTTCTTGACCGGGCAAAATAAAGCCAGATCCCATTCGCTTGAAATGGCTGCTCATTTCTTTGATTCTTTCACGTATGTTCCTACCTATGACGAATATCCTGGAGCGAGCCTTGGAATAGAATTGTTAGGCAATGATTATCTGGGAATGCAATATTCGCAACAGCAGCAGCAGCAGCAACAGCAGTAACAGCAACAACAGCAGCAGCAGCAACAGCAGCAACAGCAGCAGCAACAGCAACAAGATCAAAAAACGTATCAGTCGTATGACTATTGTCAAGCGAGCAACGCAATCTTGGATCCGCAATATCCTCAAGACGAACATTATTCGAATGACCAACACTTTGCTCAGACCCATGCGAGTTCTGACCCCTTTATGTCATCGACCGTCTCGAGAAAGCGTAAGAGTTTCGAATTAGGCGGCAGCTATTTCGACATGATTCAACCAAGACGCAAGCGAGATTGTCTGTTGGGAACTGAGCGAGCATCACAGTTAAATGTGACAAGTGAGAATGATCAAGGAAATATTGTTGACAGACTCGGACTAGAAATATTGAGGGGGGGGGGATGTAAGGGGGGGAAAAAAAAAGAGAGAGATCGAGTAGTGTGAGAATCTGGGAGCGAGAAACAAACAGTCGGGTCGGGTTGGGATTTTTTTTTCTGTACATTTTTTTTGGAGGGATTCCCACAGACTTTGTAAATAAGGTTCCGAGCAATTGTATATATATATACGGTATATAAAATTTGCCCGAGAGACTTTATTTGTAGATAGATTAAAAGAAATGGACTTTTTTTTAAAAAAAAACGGACAATATCAAAGACTTTTTTTAAAAGTAACGTTACTTGACATTATATCAAAGACTTTTTAAAAGTAACGTTATTTGACATTTTGAATCGTCATTTTCTCATTTCTCATATTTTATTTTTCATATTTCAAACCGAACTTTTTGGACTTTATTTCTATCGTTTTGCATTATTTTATTTCTCTATCATTTTCATTACATTGTTGTATAGCTTATTAACATTATTATATTTGTAAATTTCTAAATTTTTCTTTTTTTTTCTTTTTCTTTTTCCCACCTCTTCTTTTTTCTTTGATGAAATGCCTTTTTGTACAAAGATTTTCTTTTCCTTCCTTTCTTCGAACCCCCATTCTTTTCCCTTCTTTTTGCATTCCATTTTTGCATACGTACTTTTTGCTTTTTTGGGACATATGACAATTAAGTTAACATACATTTCAGATTTTATAGACATAAAAAAACATTCTATGCTTTCTGTGTAAAAGTTTTTTTTTTTTTTTTAAAATGCTTAGATGAATAAATAAAGATAAGCGGTTGTGCCCATTAACGAAAAAAGATGTGTGTATTACAAAGTCATTATGTGGAATACCGTAAATTATCAAGTTTACATGTTTGGAAAGAATGACGACTATGAAATAGATGGTTGGTGTGACAACGATCGGGACGCGCATGCGTTTATTATATGTATTATTACTTTATTATAAAGAACGGGATCTCCCTTGGCAGATGTCCGAGAACGGAATCAGAGGCTCACAATGACTTTGCTGCGGAATACGGAATAAATTGATGGCGAAAAATCAAACTCCCTTTTCACCTCATGACCAACTGCTATTAATAAGTCATGTTATTTCACATTACTAATGCCAAGGAACTATGCCAAGTCAACGAAATCTATTGTCACTCCAAAGTTGGGAAACGTCTCTATTTTCAGCTGACATTGTAATGTTCCAAGCATCACACACAGTTGTGGTCATGTGATTAACTACATTTCGATGCTGACTAACATATCCCGTAAAGGCTAGTTTCAACCAATTGGCTTTAAAACTCGCAAAATTTATTGACGTTTTCCATAAACAATACGTGTGGCTAATTGATCGACATTACTGACGTAGGTGCAGTTTTTTTTGT